TTTACAATATATACAGATATCAAATCATTATGTTGTGTGCCTGGAACCAATACAATGTTATATATCAATTATACCACAATAAAAAAAAATTTTTTTTCAGTATCTTTTTTTCAGTATCATTTGACACATGACGGAACCCAGGCACAGAGAAAGTGAAGTGACTTGCCCAAGGTCCCATAGCTTAAGGGTGACAGAGCCCAGAAGAGGACTTGTGTCCCCTGACCTCCAATCCGAGGTTCTTTTTGCTTGATCACAGCTGGGACCAGCAGAGCAGTTGGAGGTGGGTACTGGTGCAGAAGGTGTCCTCCATACCATCAGAAACTTCCTGTGAGGGGTCCAGAATGTACTACTGTGATCCCCGGCTCTGTACAAAGGTCTAGTTAAGAGTTACATGTAGACATTCTTAACCAGGAGGTCATATATTTTTCTATTACGGGCTGTATATAAAGCTTTCATCACATTTTCAAAGGGATCCCATTGCACAACAAAAATAAGAACCAATGAACTAGAGTATGGGCTGTCAAACTTTCTGTAACGAAATTTTACAGAAAGCAAGTATTTTGGCTTTGCAGGCCATACGGTCTCTGTCCCAATTATTCAACTCCCTGATACAACTCCCTTGTCCCCTGTACCGTGAAAGCAATCACAGATGGTACAGGAACAAATGGGCACGGCTGTGTTTCAATAAAACTTTATTTACAAAAATAGGCTGTGGGCCATATTTGGCCCAGGCAGTAGTTTGCCAACCCAAAACTAGAGGATCTGCAACTATCTTCCCCTCATTTCAGGTTTTGCTTCTGGCCATATAACCCCTTGCCACGCTCCCCCTTTTATCAAGCGAGCTGAGAGACAGCCATATTCCTGTGGATCCAGCTCTTAGCCAGGGACCATCAAACAAGTGGGCAAACACATAAAGGGAATTTGTTTCACTTTTTCATTAAACAACAAGTTCTTTGAATTCTTAATTGGAAACTTTCACACATGAATTGAGGCTGCTGCATCTCATTTCCTGCAGTCCTGCTCACCGTTTATTTTGAGCAAAATGATTGTCAAATGTGGAGGGTGACCTTTGACCTCTGGTGGCTGCCTGCAATATACTTTCTTGGCTCATTTGCATATAGGGTGTTAGAAAACACGCTGGCACATTCTTCTCTTGATTAACTAAGGACTAAAACAAGATCTCAAGACAGAACATGGCCAGGAAGGACTGGAGATTTTTTTTTCCCCTTCCGTTGTTGGCAAAGGACCTCTTCAGTTCAAATCAAGAAGCATGGTTGAGGAAGATACTGAGTCAGGCCCTGCAAGGGAAGGGGTGGCCACAGTACAGAGCATGGGACCCCCATCCAGGTCATTTGTCCTCTGCTCTTGTACAAAAGATGAGATTTACACACAACAACAAGGAATCTTTCCTCTGTTGGACCTCTACCCAGGACCCGTCGTCACTCTTCTGTCCCCAACAGACCCTCACCCATTCTGCTCTAAGGGGGAGGCTGCCTCTGTCCTAATTAGGACAGGGAGGGAGGGACAGAATTGAAGCTGAGAAAATATGGCAGAACAGCCTCCCTCAGCTTTGCCCAGCCCCCTCTCTGGCCTTGCCCTTTCCAAATTCTGGTAGCAAAAGGACTGAGTCAGTTAGTCCTAAAGTGAGAGGCAGGTGTTTTTCCATTTGCATGACATTAGTTATAAACACGGCATGCCCCTAGACATCAGAAATACCTTTTGTGGACTCCTGCTCAGAGGTGAGTTTTCTGGGTTCAGACTCCTTTTCACACATCAGCATTAGGACACACAGGAACACACCTCTCCAAGGGACCCAAGAGATGACAAACTCTTCCAAAAGGACAACAGAGGCAGTGAAAGATCTGGTGATCAGCCGAGGAGGAGTTGATGTGATCCAGGGCTCGGGCTCCCACCAGGGTGATCTGGTCCCTCGCCACGCTTCCATCATGCTGGCTCCCCCTGAGAACTCGGTTTCACAACATCTCAAGCAGTTCCAGAAGATTCGGAGGTGCCCATTTTCTTCCTTTTTCTCTTTATATCTGGACATGTTTCCCAGCCTTCCCATGGAAAATCCCTGAGCTGGCCACTTCCTGTTTTTGTTTTGTTTTCCTCCCTCACTAGTGTACCCTTTGACCTTCTGTCCTCTGTCAGGATCTGATCTTCGGCTCAAACTGGGAAACTAATCCCCGGCGCCAAACACTCAGCACCCAACTGGGAAAAGGGAGATTTCTACCTCAGCCCTGCTCACTCCCTGTATGAGCTTAAACAAACCTGTTCTCTCAACAGTCCTCTGAGTTGCTTCCTCACCCAAAACAGAGCTGAGAGATGACTAAGAGATTTGTTGTTAGAGATGTTCATCCAATAGGATCACAAATGTTAGCAACAATTGTTTTTGAGTTCTGATCCACTTTTAAATGGGGCTAAGGAGTGTCTTTTTGCTTTGTTAACTAGACTCGCTATGAGTGTGCCCTGGTCATGGGCTGCTCTTTCCAGGGCTTTGTCCCCTTCCTCTGGGTCCAGCATTCCTGGCATATTTGGAGGGAGTAGGAGTTGGCCTGGGGCCACTTTTCTAAGTATCTTCTCAGCTCTGCAGTCCTGTTTCCAACACAGTGTCTTTGCTTTGTTTACTCTCTACTTCTCACTCCCTGGCAAGGACCAGATGCAGGAAAGGCACAAAGCAGAAGAGCCTCCTCAGTGCTGGCCACCAACACTGTCCCCACAGGCAGTGGCTCTAGATCAAGCTGGCTGGAAACTCCAGGCCCCCACCATCTCCAGAGGGGTAAAATGTGACACGGTCAGACAAAGGAGGTGTTAACTATGTGCTGGTCTAATGGGGAATTTCCCCCAAACACATCTGGCACATACAAGTAAAAAAGAAGAAAGATACCAAACAATAAGCCACCACTGCCTCTGAGAATTTACTATTTGGAACAGGTGTCTCCTGCCACTTAATGAGGGCATCTGGGTTCAGCTCTACTTTCCCTTGGTCACTAACTCCCCAGGTGACCCTTGCCAATACACAGAACCTCTCTGGGCCTCAACTTTGCTCTCTCTGCTGACAAGTGGGTGGGAGTAAGGTGCTTCCAGTTGGAAAGAGTATGGCAACCAAGGGTGAAATCTGATGGCACCTGGCTCCATCACCATCTGTCAAGCCCAGCTAGCTCTCCCTTAAATCTTACCTCGAGGAAAGGCCAACCAAATTCATATCACAGGAAAATCTGAAGTTTACTCTATTCTCTAAATTGTTTTCAATTTCCCATGGGGGAAAGAGATTGATTCATTTTGTTAATAAGCAAAGGTCTTATTTTTCCACCTTCGGTCGTATAAATGTCAAAGAAAAAAAAAAGCTTCCAGTTCAATCAAAGAAAAGTTCCAGCATTTCAAAGAAGTCAAGTAGAGATAAAACAGATGATCCTCCAGGAAAAAAAACACAAAAGTGGCCTTAACTCCAAAACCACAATACCTCAAATTACCTAATGTTTAACTCTCTCAAACAAAGGCCTCGTAGAAATGTAAAAAAAAAAAAAAATAGTTAAAAGCATAGACAGTGCAGGAGTAACAGCCCAGATGAATCCAGGTTTCCTGTACACTAAGATGAATCAAACTACTAGACTCTAGAATCCTTGGATGGACGATGAGGGATACACATAAGTCAAGCTGTAACATAAAATTCAGATTTCTGATGGCTAATTCATATTCGTAGCAGCATTATTCATATCAGCCAAGGGGTGAAAGCACCCAAATGTCCATCAATGGATGAATGGATAAACTAACTATGGTATATCCATACAATGGAATATTATTCAGCCTTAAAAAGGGGGGAAATTCTGACCCAGCCTACAACATGGATGAACCTTGAGGACGTTACACTGAATGAAATAAGCCAGTCTCAGAAGGGTAAGTACTGAATGATTCCACTCATATAAGGTCTCTAGAGTAATCAAATTCATAGAGACAGAAAGTAGGATGGTGGAGGGGTGCCTGGGTGGCTTAGTCAGTTAAGCATCCGACTCTTGATTGTGGCTCAGGTCATGATCTCAGGGTTGTGAGATGGAGGCCCGCATCTGGCTCCGCACTCAGGGGGGAATCTGCTTGAGATTCTCTCGCTTTCCCTCTCTCTCTCCCTCTTCTCCTTTCCTGTTTGTATGCTCTCTCTCTCTCTAAAATAAATAAATAAAATCTTGAAAGAAAGAAAAAGAAAGAAAGAAAGAAAGAAAGAAGAAAGGAAGGAAGGAAGGAAGAAAGGAAGGAAGGAAGGAAGGAAGGAAGGAAGGAAGGAAGGAAGGAAGGAAGGAAGAGAGAGATGGTGTTTGACAGGGGCTGAGGGGGAAGTGGAAGTATGGTGACTTACTATTTAATGGGGACAGAGTTTCAGTTGGGGATGATGAAAAAGTCCTGGATGGGGATGATGGTGGCACCACAACGTGAGTTACTTAAAGCCACTGAACGGTACGCTTAGAAATGGTTAAGATGTGGCCTCCTGGGTGGCTCAGTAAGTTAGGCGTCTGCCTTCAGGTCAGGTCATACGATCCCAGAGTCCTGGGATTAAGCCCCGAGTCAGGCTCCCTGCTCAGCGGAAAGTCTGCTTCTCCTTCTCTGTCTGCCCCTCACCCAGCTCAAGTCTGCTTCTCCCTCTGCTCCTTACCCATTTGTGCTCTCTCTCAAATAAATTTTAAAAATCTTAAAAAAAAAAAAAAAAAGAAATGGTTATGATGGTCAATGTCATGTGGATTTTGCCACAATTCAATTTTCTTTAATTAAAAATTTAAAAAATTCAGAGTTCTAAATAAAGAGTATTGAGTGACTAAATCTGCCCCCTCTTTACACGTATATACACCAGCTCTTCTCCGAGAAACCCACTGATTGTGCCTTTAATTTAAAGCCCACACAGATTCATGAATCCACACACCCAAGTTTCTGCTTCAGAACTTAGCTGGAGCTACCACATCCACATCCGTGAGGCAGAGAAAGGGTAGTTCTTTGCCCCATTTGACTAATGGAAAAACCAAGGGTCATGGAGGTTAAGTAGCTTGCTCAAGGTTACACAGTTCACAGGGTCGGCCCCAGTTAAAAGTTCCTGGTGGAGCTGTCTCCAGATTTATAACCCCCGAAGTATTGAATAAACACAGGACAAAACCAACGTTGATCTGGAGAGACAGGAACGTGCCAGGACCAATTTCCAAAATGAGTTCTAAAACCAGTGCCATGGGGACAAAAACATTCCAGGAGGACCTCACATCCATCTGTGTTAAGTGTGTTCACAGAGCCCCTCCCGTGGCTGGACTCTGTTAGGCTCAGCATCCTGAGTCCTGGTCCCTCCCAGAGCACACTGGGCAGTGGGTGGAAAGTGCATGAATGGGGAAATGGTGAGTGTGTCTGGAGCACAGGGGGCAGTTCCAGGCTCCCTAGAGAGGTGGCCTATCCAGTGAGGCCTGGGCAGGTGGCAGAGTCTGGGGGCCATGTGTGCAAAGGGCCAAGATACACAGAACCTGGTCTTTTCAGAGACTCATCTCTTTGCTCGCCCACATCCCCCATTTTCCCTCAACCCCAGATCACTCCCATTTTCCTATAAGCATATTGTTCTATGCCCCTCTTAAAAGACCTGCAGTAAACCCCATGTCTGTCTCAGCTACCTCCCAGGAGTAGTTGCTAGGGTTGCTGTAACAAAGTACCACAGACTGGACCACTTGAACCAGAGAAATTTATTGTCTCACAGTTCTGGAGGCCAGAAGTCCAAGATCAAGGTGTCAGCAGGGTGGGTTCCTTCTAAGGACTGGGAGGGAGAAGCTGTTCCAGGTCTCTCTCCTTGGCTTGTCAATGGCCATCACCCTTCTGTGTCTCTTCACATCATCTTCTCTCTGTAGGTGTCTGTCTCTGTGTCCAAACCCTCTTTTTATAAGACCACCAGTCATACTGGATTAACGCCCATCCTAATGACCTCATCTCCAAAGACCTTATTTCCAAATAAGGTCACATCCATGAGTACTGGGGCTTAAGACTTCAACATCTTTGGAGGGGACACAATTCAACCCACCACACTCCCCATTTCTCTGCTTTCCTTTGCAGCAAAAAATCCTCAGAAAGTCATCTAGAGCCAGAGGACCAACCCTGGGGCCAAGTGCTCTCACTCTGTCGCCTAAAATGTCATTTCTTCCTGATGATCCTCAGATTTGTATCTCTAGCCTAGACATCACTCCAGATCCTCAGACTCCTATGTGCCCCCATTCCTTACTTCAGTAAATGACACTCCTATTCAGAGCAAAGCACCCCAGTCATCCTTAACTACCCTCTTGCCCCCTCACTCTTGACATCAGCAAGGATGGTTTTATCGTCAGCACCTGCTGCAAACGTTGTGGCCACCTCCTCACCATCACCTCACCCCTGGAGCAGTGAAGGAACCTCCTAATGGCTCTACTACATTCATGTACTCATTCCCTACACGGCAGCCTGGGGTCATGTGAATGGATTCCGTGATGTGAGCAAGAGGGCGTCCACTGCATCCAGCTCTCCAACGGGCCACCTCCCTTCAGAACGTGGCCCTGTGTCAGCTTCCTCTGGATCCTCCAAGCAGCCCTGTGGAGGCTCTGATTTGGTCCAGATCCAGTCCTACTGCCTCACCGAGGGCTCCTTTAGAGCTATGCCACCAGCCTATCTCAGCAATACTGTGGCCCCTCCATAAGCCCAGGCCTCAGGTGTGCCCTCGGTCAAGCTTAACGCCTTTCCAGGACACGGGCCCACCATGTCGTTCTCTCAAACGTTGACCCTGCTTCTCTCCAGCCTCATCCCCCACCCCCACCAGCACCTCCCACTCCACTGACCATCCTGATCAGCCTCTCTCCCTCCACCTTACCTTCTTGTCGCTCCCACCTGCTCCGGCCCCCTCTTCAAGACTCAGTCTGAATTTAAGTGTTTGCTCCCCCAGACGCCTGGGCCAGCTAACTGGCCTGTTGACTGGCCTAATTACTCAAGGGGTTGTCTTAATCTATGAGGGCTAACACGGGCTGGGTGGCTTACAAACAACAGACATTTATTTCTCACAGTTCTGGAGGCTGGAAGTCCAAGATCAAGGTGCCAGCATGGTCAGGTTCTGGTGAGAATCTTCTTCCGGGTTGCAGACCGTCAACTGCTCACTATGTACTCACATGATGGAAGGGCTCAGGAGCTCTGTGGGGTCTCTTTTATAAGAACACAAATCCCACTCATGAGGGCTCCACACTCATGACCTAAGCATCTCCCAAAGACCCCACCGCCCAATGACATCACACTGGGCGTTAGGATTTCAAAGTACGAATTTGGGGGGACACCATCAGCCTATAGCAGGGGGCGTTGGGATGGGGCACAGGGTAGAGTGTAATGGTGACGTTGTCAGGCTGTCTGGTCACATTCGAATTTCAGCTCTATCATTTATTGACAGTGGGATCCTGGGAAGGGTCCCTCTTAACCAATCTGGGCTTCAGTTTCCCCCTGCCTAAAACGGAGCTAATCACAGGTACATAAGAAAATGCTCAACATCGGGACACCTGGGTGCTTCAGTCAGTTAAGCGTCTGCCTTCGGCTCAGGTCATGATCCCAGGGTCCTGGGATCGAGTCCTGCATCGGGCTCCCTGCTCGGCGGGGAGCCTGCTTCTCCCTCTGCCTGTCGCTCCCCCTGCTTGTGCTCTCTCTCTCTGACAAATAAATAAATAAAATCTTAAAAAAAAAAAAAAAGAAAGAAAGAAAATGCTCAACATCACTCATCATCAGGGAAATGCAAATCAAAACCACAATGAGATATTTCCTCACACATGTCAGGATGACTACTATAAAAAATTACAATTAAAAAAAGACAAATTTTAGCAAGGATGTAGAAAAAAGGGAACCCTTCCGCACTGTTGGTAGGAATGTTGCATGGAGCAACCATTATGGAAAACAGTATGGAGGCTCCTCAGAAAATTAAAAATAGAACTACTTTGATCCAGCAATTTCACTTCTGGGTATACATACAAGAATTGAAATCAAGATTTTTTTTTTAAGATTTGTTTATTTATTTGAGAGGTGGTGGGGAGAGAGAGTGGGGAGAAGGGCAGAGGGAGAGAATCTCGAGCAGACTCCCTACAGAGCATGGAGCCCAACACAGGGCTCGATCTCACAACCCTGAGATCGTGACCTGAGCCAAAACCAAGAGCCAGACGCTGAACCGACTGAGCCACCCAAGGCACCCCGAAATCAAGATCTTAAAGTGATATCCACACTCCTATGTTCATTGCAGCATTATTCACAATAGCCAAGATATGCAAACAACCAAAATGTTCAACAGATGAATGGATAAAGAAAGTGTGGTATATACAATACAGTGCAATGCCATTCAGCCTTAAAAAAAAAGATGGAAATCCTACAATATGAGACAAGGACAATATTAATAAATCGTCCCTGGTGACATTTAAGAACTAATATCCTTTGCCAAAAAGTTTCCTGCTACCTAGTCCAGCAGCAATGCAGATGTTGGTCCCCACATCACAAGGACAACAGTGCAGGCTCAGGGAGGCACCTTTCCTTTTCAGACCTGAAAGCCGAAAAAATTGGCAAGCCCCGGTAAGGGGGAACATAATCCATTCACTTCCAGCAAAACATGGAGACAAGGAGCGCACAGGTGTGAGAGGAAGCCTGCAGAGATTGCCTGGAGCACAGAACCCTGCATCCCGCCAGGGTCTGGCCACCCTTCATTCCGTGAAGGATTTACTGTAAATCACCGGATCTGCAGACACTGTTTTCCCACTTCTCAAGGGCAAATATCACACAAGCTGATCTAAACCTTCAAGGGCAGCTTCTCAGACTTTCAAACCAAACAATCCATGAGTTCTATTTGGAATGGTCCCTGGAGCCCTTCAGCGCTGGGCCTGGGTGGCTCCCAGGAAGAGCTGAACTGTGTGTAAAGACCCCATCAGCCCCATACCCTGCTTCTCTGGCCTCAGCTCCAGGCCACCAGGCACCTGTCCCCACGCCACAGGTCAGCACAGCTGGGTCGGGCACAGAAGATGTCCCAGGACTGGCAAGCCTGCCTCACACTAGTCGATCATAAATGGAAAGGACTGCGTTTTTGCTACACACAGGTACACACACGTGTGTGCACCCATAAACGCGCACGTGTACCCATGTGCACACTTGCACAAGCGTGTGAACCCCTTTCTACCTGCATGGTTTGTTTTTTTTTTTTTTAGATTTTATTTGTTTTTTGACAGAGAGAGAGACAGCGCGAGAGGGAACACAAGCAGGGGGAGTGGGAGAGGGAGAAGCAGGCTTCCCTCTGAGCAAGGAGCCCGATGTGGGGCTCGATCCCAGGACCCTGCGATCATGACCTGAGCCGAAGGCAGACGCTTAACGGCTGAGCCACCCAGGCGCCCTCTACCTGCATGTTTTACTCATGCTCCTCGCAGAATCAGATAGAAGGTGAGCCCTCTCAATACAAATGAGGAGTCCGAGGCCCGGAGAAGTTCCGGAGCTGGCCCACAGCCCGCAGCCGTGAAAGCGAGCCGGCCCGGCCCTGGAGCCCTCTCCCTCTGTCCCCGCTCACTGCGCCTTCTCCTTTTGTGCCACACACGCCCTTCCCTCCCTGCAGAACTCTGAGCTTTCTTCCGCCAGCAGGACCCCTTTGTGATCAGCGGCTCCAAGCTCCTGTCATTCTGCTCCTGAGGACCCTGACCTCACCGAAGTCAGCGAAGGGAGCGGCATACCCTGCGGGCAGGATACCACCTTGGACCCCTTCGCATAGGGTCTCCTGGAACGCTGCTTCTCCTACAGAAGAGAAAAACGCTTGGAAAGCAGGGACTGTCCTCAGTCTTTTCAATCTGCTCCCCTGCTTCTAAGGGGCAGTCTATGAAAATCCTGTGCCCACACATGTCTCTCGGAGAACAGGTGGGTTGCAGGGCTCCCAGGGCACCTGGACAGGCTCCAGCATGTGCCCAAATCCCCATAACAGCGCTGTCCTAGAGGGATTCAACTTCTCTCCTTGAGAAGCCACCTAGACACCTGACAGCCATCCGAAACAGAGTTCCCAGGGAGGCCCTTCTTGGAGGGGAGTCCTCTAATGGTAACGTAGTACCTGCCCAGGAGACCTGAAACAGATTCTTTTTCAATGCACACTTTTCCGGTTGAGGCATGGTCAAAATGCATTTCTTAGAGAAGTAAAAGATGGAGGCTCATGAGAGCCAACAGGATCCACAGTTGGTTTGCAAGCCTCCCTCTGACACCACAGAAAAATACATCCTATAATTTATCCTACAGATGCCATCAGACAAGGACGTGTGTGTTTTTGTGTGTGTCTGGATCCTGTGTGGGGGTGTGTGTTGAGAATCCTGTGGGCATGTATTTATGTGACCATATATGTGTGTGAATATACACACACAGTTACATACATTCACATGCAGGATTTTAACACACACACACACACACACGCAAGCGCATATAATGCCAAAACCAGTTGAGGACCTATCTTTGTAAATAAAGTTTTATTGGAACATAGCCACACCTCTTCATTCCATAGTTTACATATTCTCTTTGACCATTTTGGAGCTATCACTTGAGAGTTGAGTAGTTACAATAGAGACATCTGGCCCACAAAACTGAAAATATTTATCACCTAGTCCTTGACAGAAAGTCAGCCGACCCCTAGGTTAAAGGATGATCCCTCTCTATGCAGCTATTAAAATTATTATGCAAATCTAGAATTGTGGCTGTAGAAAGTTGTCATGATGTATTACTAAGTAAGAAAATTGGCTAGAAAATGTTGACTTAATCCCATTCGTATAAAAGGAAAATATATTCAACTAAGTGTGCATATTTGTGTAGAAAAATACATCTATTTTCTCTAGAAAGTTGTGAAAGGAGAGAGATCACAGGTAATTTCTTAATTTCTTCTTTATACTTTTCTTTTTATGTCGGATTTTTAAAAAATAATGAACACACTTCACCTTTTCATTTAATGTTCTTTAGCAATGTTCTTTTCATGTGGATTAAGCTGCTCACATCCCCCAATCTCCCACCCCCATAGACAATGAGGAGTGTCAGGGCTCGAGGGGTCCAGACTGGGGGAGATAACTTAGCTTCTATAAGGGGGGGAGCCAGCAAAGGGCCTGGAGAGACAGTCCCCGGGGAGTAGACCTCACTGACTCCCTTGGAGGGGCCCTCAGTCTGAGCAGCTTCTGCTTCTGGGCTCCTCCTCCCACTTGGCTGAGGTCCAGGCTGTGATGGTGAGACTCATCACCAAGCATCACCTCGACCGCCCCCAACCTGGCAGAAAAGGAGTCCAGAGAGCCTTCTCTCTCCTGAGCCAGTCCCTGGCCTCCATGCGCAGGGCGCCACAGGAATTGGCTTGGCACTGAGTACCAGGTCTCTGAGGAGACAGAAGCGTGGTGTCCAAACATGAATGGCTTATTTTTAGAAAAGTCCACCCTTGTGTCCTGGCCCCACTCCAGGATGAGAGATGGCATTCCCTCTGACTCAACTCCCCAAACTGACCCCATTTCAGAGGGTCTAAGTAGCCTGCCCTCACTGACAGGAGCCAAGGACAGCCCAGACCTTCAGGAAAAGCAGTTCTACAGCAGTTCCAGATCCATCCAGGCCTGTGTGAGGGCTCCTTCTGGAGAGAGCAAGGCCATTCCCTTAACAGTCCACGCTTTGAAACCAAATGCAGAGCCTTCTGCACTACGTCTCCCAGATCCCCATTTTCCCAGCAAGTACATAAGTGACAGCGGACCTCCCCCTATGGTTTCTCAGCCCAGTGAGATTCCTTGAATCGTTCAGATTGCAAGTCCAAGGAAAATGGAGGGCCGACTCCTCCCTCCTCCTCCCACACAGGCCAAGAGCCCCAATCCTGCAGCCATGTTCCTCCATTGGCATTTCTCCATCTCTTCAATCAGGCCCCACGCTACATCCAATGGACAAGAGAAATAAAGGGAGGAATAACTTTCTTCCAAGAAAGACACTAGAACTCATGATCTGTTATAATTCACTGTGTAGGTCTGACAAGAAGAAGTGCCATCAATGTCAAGGAGAATAGTGCCACATACAGACACATCTTGCTAGAGAGGATCACAGAGCTGGTGGGTTCGTAGGGAGGTGGCTCAGACAGTGAGAGAGTGGGAGATTATTTTCCCTCCTGAGGCCGGTGTTGCCAACATTCCAGAAGTAGTGAGACACA